CTCGGAGACTTTTGACGGTAGGTAAACCTAGAATAGCAGAGGATACGGCGTCTTGGATAGCAGTGCTACCATCAGTCGCCATGTTCAGCAAAGTTCAGCAAAAGACCGGATGTGGCAGGACTCGCAAGTGACTGTGGGTATTCACTAATGACCTCGCCTGACCTAGCCCCGCTGATGCCCGCCAGATGTGCGCCCAATCCCGGCGTGGCGTGCCACTGAGCGGGGATTAGATCCTGGCCAATAAGCACAGAGAAGGCTACACACAGAATCTGTGCGTATGGACTGACAGCTAAGAGAGGCGCTTCCAGACTCGTATAGGGCGGCCAAACTCCCCCCGGGGCTAGACTCCCCCGTAGCAGTAATTTACACCGGCGGGCGAAAGGCTCTTGCCGCCCGAAGAACGAGTTTGGCATCCAGGGTAATGATTTAGAGCCTGAAACGCGTTATACTACCCTGGGTGCCAGCCAAGTTTACAGGCCGCTAACCGTTTTTTCGGCAGCCAGGGTACTTCGCCCGCAGAGGAGTATATCGGCCTTCCAACTAGTCTGGAAGCGCGTCCCATACGCAGCCGTCCAGTGTGTGGGAGGGGAACCCGTGATTAATGATCACGCGCGCCACGGGAAGCCCACCGCGCGGCAGCAGGATTGGCCATGTGCGCTGCACACGAGAGCGAATCACACACAGGTTCTATACTACACTAAATATTCATGAATCGGCGAGTGTCATGTGACTAGCTACATAGCGCTGCGTTCAGGGGTCAAAGAGCGGAGGTTACATATCTGCTTCCGGTGGTTCGTACGAAAGAGAAAATACACTAGACAAGTATAGAGACTTTACTCCTTTATTCGCGCCGAAGTAGTGCTAATGTAACATAACATTTCATGGAGGTAAACATGTAATAAACCGGGTAGGATTATATACAAGTTACAAGCGGCCTCAACTGGACTGACGTCCTACCTGGCCGGCCGTAAAATTATGCTACTCTACTCTATTAAAAATGGGGTTGGATACAAGACATACAAGATTTTTTTACACGCATGTAAACATGCAAATAAAAAACGGGGTAGAATTATATGCAAGGTTTTTTTTACACACATGTAAACATGTAATAAAAAAACAGAGTAGGATTATATACAAGGTTTACGGTATTCTAAAAAATCGCTGTGGCTGTATTTACCTCGGGCTATGCTACTCAAGCGTTTTCAATCCAACTGCGTTTCTGGTATAACCGTTCTCAAGTCCAGAGGACCGTCATCTTCGCTGTCGTCCGCTTTGTCGTTGTTCGTCGACGTTGTGGGTGTACTTGGGAACAGATCGATGGTGTTATCGCGCGTGTCGTCGGATTTCTTCCCGTCTGAAGACGGGATCTCGGGGGTGTTTTTGTCAGGTGAAGACGGGAAAAGCTCGGGGGTGTTTTCCAAGTCCGACTTGTCGGGTGAGGACGGGAAAAGCTCGGGGGTGTTTTCCAAGTCCGACTTGTCAGGTGAGGACGGGAAAAGCTCGGGGGTGTTTACGAAGTCCGACTTGTCAGGTGAGGACGGGAAAAGCTCGGGGGTGTTTTCCAAGTCCGACTTGTCAGGTGAAGACGGGAAAAGCTCGGGGGTGTTTTCCAAGTCCGACTTGTCAGGTGAGGACGGGAAAAGCTCGGGGGTGTTTTCGAAGTCGCTTTCGTCTGCCTGGCACGTGTCAGCATCAAACAGCAAGCTGAACTGGGTGTCGTGAGTTGGTGTTGACGAAAACAGTGGTGGCCCTATCTCCCTTGGCCCTTCGATCGCCGAGCAATATGTTGCGTCGGAATCGTACTCCTCATCTTCAGTTGTCGTCTTTTCAGCCATATCTTAAGATGACAGAAACACAAAACAATAAAGATTTACACTTTCACTAACTTGTACTATCTTAAAGTACGCGTCTAATAGTATTTTCCGGGGAATAACGACATTGAAATTACTCTGTCATACACGCCTAGTCGATATATATATAACGTTATATATTTATACACTGATTAAACATCCTTTCTCAAATAGACATTTCAACTCGGAATAGATAACTGATTTACTTAGCCAATGAAAAAAAAAGCCGGCTGTATGTTTTAGCCTAACAATCAAGAAACGGGCAGTTTGTTCTTGTCTATGTTTCGCACTAAAATAGTAGAGAACATACCGTAAGTTCGGGCTGACTTGAACGATGTTTTATGCTGTAGAATTCCGCGTGCGTCGTACGTGATTACGTATACGTGATGAACAGATCGAGCCGGTCCAGTTGAATGCCACAGAATGCATGCCACAGTTGTTGTGAAATAACACTCTACTGCTTATGGTTTTAGCGGGAACTTGTTAGGAGTGTGGTGTCCGTTCTTTGTACACGTTACAGACGTGTTTTATGGTCTGCTGTCCGTGTCCCGTGGTGTGAAGAGATTTTTCAAGAGATGAAATCGGTTTATCGTACGGTCGACGATTTTTAAGACTCACCATGCTTTACAAATTAGTGGTAAAACAGCTCTCTATCTGTTTTTGAATTTAAAAAATCCGTGAATCCTTTGCAATTGGTTCTCCGTATAATGTCCTTGGTTCTGAACATAAAAAGTGCCTGGGGAGTGTAGGAGTGCCCTGCCCTGTTCTGTCCTTTGCATTACAAGTCACAATGTATAAATTAAATCATAAAGCAACATCAAAGAGTACCGCCACTTCTTCTCGAGGGAAGCTGTCAACACAGACAGTCTCCGACAACATGGAAGGGTGACCCGTCGTACGCCATTTATGCTAATTCAATGATGGGGATTGTCTGGGGACACTTGAGGAAATTGAGGACATTATTTCTCTTACTCTCCATGCCTTCTTTTGCGTTTTTATCGGGCTTCCTTTTTTGTTTTCCTTCATGTTCGGTGCACTCTTTGAAGTATGGGAATATTTCGAGCTTTCGGCTGATTTGACGGATGACTGACAGTCTAGTATTTTACACAAAGAATGCAAATTGCTTGTCCAGAGACCCACAGGAAGTTGTAATGTAATTTAAGGGAGTTTGACAAGAACGGTGCCTTTTCTAAGTCTTTAGCAACTATATGATGGTTATGATCGTAATCTTTAAAGAGGACAGGGAATATTTTCATACAGAACCACTAACGTCCGTCAAAGGCTATGCCGACTTTGATCATGGAGTTAAAAGACAAATTGATACCTCCATGCTTTGATTAATCCCAACGTTTCCCACTGTCCTGACAAGATTTTAAAATCATTATGTGTTACTCTGGAATCGTTTGTTGATTATAAGAGTGGCATGTACGACGATCTAATAGACGTTCTTCATTCATTTATTCATAATACAAATGTACATCAAAGGCGTAACTTGCGGGGTTTCCCTTGACGTCATTTATGCTAAATAACAAAAAGGGAAATCCCAAGCAAGATGGCGTCCGACTGTACTTCGCGAGTGGGAGTCAGTGGTTGACATGGTAGTAGTTTTTCGCGGCTTGCCGAGAAACATGTGGGGTACACTGCTCATATCTGTCATAATCGTGAGAAAAGACGTACATCAAAGGGAAAACCATGTTAAATTTGGAGCGTCAGACCGCACTAGGCGTCACTTTGCGGTTCCGACGGCGGGAGGAACATGTCAGCGTCCGGCGGCCGAAAACCGCCGGACGCCGTGCCGGCTAGCAAAAGTCAGTGCAGGCTGTGCAGAGCCAATCTCAAGATCCAGGGTACCAGCAAACAGTCCAGAAATCTGTTCAAGCTCAAGGTGAACAGCCAGGACACGGTGACGCCGGCTGCGAGACTGGAAACAGTACTTGGGAGACCAATTCGTAAGGACCCTAGCCTCTCAGACATAATATGTCAGTCATGTTTTCGGGAAATCCCGAGGATGGAGAAGTGCCTTTCGACCATGACCGCGTGGCAGGCTGCTGTGGAAGGAGAGGATCGGTCTACACCCACACGCGTCAGGATGCCGGCCGCAGTATGCAGAACGCCACAACACCGAACGCAGAAAAAGCGCGGATTGTCCTACACGCCAGGGAAATCCCCGCTACATAAACAACTGCGGCCAGCAGACAGCGTCGAGAACATCCCTCCCAAGAGCCCTCCCCATCAGAGCGGTGAGACTCTGTGCAACGAGACCAGAGTTGAGGTATGTGTTTTTTTTAATGTTTTACCTAATATTACGATGACTTGAATTATTGGACTGTGCAGAACTTTAAATGACGCATCGCCAGCCTGTGGATGTATTACAGTTGTTGTAGCTACATAGTGTGTTGCAGTCGAAACGAACTCAACAATAATGACGCGATTTCATGTAAAAATGTTACAGAAATTTTATTGAGTAAAATTGTGTAAGAAATGAAACATTCTTTGAAAAAAAACGAGGTTTAAGAACGCAAAAAGTATAACGCCTTTGACCCTTTGACGGCACGCTTACGGCACGCGCGACTCTTTTGATCGTGCCGAAGCCCGTCCCTCCGCTCGTAAATTTCAATACAAATCGCCCTCCTTTGCATGCGGCTCTAAACAAACATTTTGGCGGCTTGATGTCTTAATACAGAAAGTTGTCGGCTCATTCCTGCAGTTTTTTTATTTATTTGGCATACATTATTTTGGTTCTGTAGGTCTTGCAACTTGGTAATTCTCTTAAATTATAGCGGGCACTAACAGCAAAAACTCATTTCTGTCGGGGAAATAAACAACATTTTAGGGCAAGTGCTAGTGGGTTTTCTTCTGCTATTTACCACCACCTCAACAATCACAACGGACACTCTTTTCATGTAAACAATACAGATATTTTAGACCGTGAGTCCAGATAGTTTGAGCGGGGTTCTTCCTTAGAATCTGTCTGTTTTTGTTTTGTTTTTAAGAACTTGATTCTTGTTCCGTAAATTCCTCACTTGTACTGATGAAAATTGTCGAAACGTCTACTCTACTAAGCTTGAAAGATTGAGCTATTTTAGTATCTTTATTGCCACCCTGGATGGGTAACCTTCACCAATGTATAGCGGGCACTGGCTTTTTAAAATATATGGGGTGCGATAAAGAAAGGTGTTAATGGAAAACATGTTAACAGTTTGGGTAGTGCGGTTTGAGGTTTCTTTTGTGGGCACTGGCTTTTCAAAATATATGGGGTGCGATAAAGAAAGGTGTTAATGGAAAACATGTTAACAGTTTGGGTAGTGTGGTTTGAGGTTTCTTTTCAATTGGCCGGATTTTTCTAAAAAAAAGCGTTTCGCGGCAAATAACTGCCATCTACTGTACTGATTCTTTCACTTTCAAAAACGGTAGTTGTGGGTCAATGCCCTCCTAAAAAGTAGGTGCTAATCAGACTCTTTTGTCTTCTTATTTATATTTTTGATTTCAATGCTGGATACTAGTGGCTCTTTTCTGGTAAGCCATCCATGCATGGCACCCAGGCAGGCTTTACAGGGATGTGTGAATTACTAGTACTTTCTTCCAAGCCAACTGACCTATTTACAAAATATTAGAAGTAGATTGCTGTTACAATTATTTTGAAACTGTTGGAAATGTCATACTCCACATCAGGATTATTTCAAAAGTTTTACAACACTAGGGAATTACTTAGAATGTTCAAGGAGGTTAACCTTCTTAGAATGTTGAAAAGATACTAGTATTCAAAATATTTCCAAACTATGACATTTCTTAGACAAACATTTACAAAGAATTGAAAACATTTCTAAATGATGACAATAACCCACGCTGTGACACGGAATTGACTTTGTTCAATGGTTGTTGCCATACATTGTACCATGAACGATCATTGGGTGAGTGTTGTTGTTGATGGGCTCATTAACAAGTATGAGCTGATGGGAAGGCTGCTTTGGATCTAGGTAATAGGATATCTCCAAGCAGATGAGATATTGGGTTCTGTGTTCTGTGTTGCTCTGTAAGCGACAAAACATAATTACCTCCGTATTTTGAAGTGCAAAGCTTGAGGAATGTAATTTTTTTTCTTCAGTGAACCATTTTTGTATTTATAGTAAGGCTGAAGGGAGGCATGTGTGCTTCGCAATACATGGTAGACATTGTGATTGAAAAAAAAAGTGCGTCTTTTATAGTTAGGGCGTCCAATTTCTTACTATTTTGTATCCAAGAGACTAAGCTTGAAGCCTAGCTGAAAGCCTGTCGCCGTGTGTTTCTTGTTGAAGAAAGATTGAGTGACACATTTCCTTCTGAGAAGTTTTTATGTAGTATTCGAGTATTTCAAGAGTCTTATTGGATTGTAAATTGTTCTTCACAGGTCCACGTGAAACGCCCTTCAGACAAAAAGCCTAGAGTATGCGAGCTCAGCGACAAGGAGCTCCCTCTCGTTCGCCATATTACTGGAAAGAAATGGGGTCAGGCCGCAAAAGATATCATGGGGCATGACGAGTTAGCAGCAGAACTGAAGAAACAGGTGGGAACCACAATTCTGAAAGAGGGGAAAAGCATGGCGCCTACCTCCATCCTGGGGCAGACTAGCTGCGAGGACCTGAAGAAGTTAAGCATTGCTGATGTGAAGGAGGAGATTGAAAGAGAGGCACCGTGGACGGCAGAAACACTTCGTGCCATCTGCGGCTACAGAAGCGGGGGCCGTGCAGACGTAGCTGTTGTCACTGCAGCAAGCATCCTCCTCCGCGTCCCGTACCCGACCCTGTCTGCACTTCAGTACAGAAATAGTTTTGTTTTGCTACAAGCAGGAGCGAAAAAGGTCGGTTTTCAAAGACTGAACAGGCAACAGATGTGTATGTCACACAAGAGGACAATCATCAAACAACAAGAAGCAGGGATCTCGCATGACAAGAAAGTGCTGGAATGGAAAAGGGACATAGAACACTTTTTCCAAGCCCAACGCATACTGGAGACCCTCCATGAAGTCAGTGCAGAGAGGGAGGCATTAGAGGAAAAAGCCATGCTAGACAAATCTGGTGGCAGCTCCTTCAGCACCATAAGTTTTGCTGACCTGTCTTCGTACGGGTTCTCTGTGCAACCATCAACCCCTGGCAGCCCTGGCAACCTTGCAGTCAGCCCTGGCAACCTTGCAGTCAGCCCTGGCAACCTTGCAGTCAGCCCTGGCAACCCTGGCAACCTTGCAGTCAGCCCTGGCAAACCTGGCAACCTTGCAGTCAGCCCTGGCAACCCTGGCAACCTTGCAGTCGGCCCTGGCAACCTTGCAGTCAGCCCTGCCAACACCCTAAGCGTCACCCCTCGCAACACCCACGACGTCAACATAAGCGGTTTTTGCGACCTCAGAGACATGGAGTCCTGGGAAGATTGTGGAGTCGGACTATTGCAAGTTGAAGAGGAACCTGTGGATGAGACAACGCTGGCAGACCTTGTCCCAGGATATGCCGAAGGTGCCTATGGCCTAGCTGAAAAAGTCCTGCAGAGCACATCATCACCTTGTATACCTCCATCCTCAACATATTCCACAGCAACAATACAAAAGGCCATCTCGTCAATATCAACATACTACCCCCCATGGTATCAGCTAATCTTCGATAACCTTGACTTCATAATAACCGCAAAACATCAAGGCCACGACGATAACAACAAAAACTACCACTGGGTACATCAGGGCTCCTTTCAGGACAGAGTATCAAGCAACCTGCCCAACAGTGCCCCACAGAAAGCCCTCGCAGACTTTGACCTGGCAGACGTTCTGCCAACAGAAGACATCCAGCAGGAGCTGAGAAGGAACTACATCATTCTGATAGCTAGGGTCATGGTGAAGTACATCCCTGCGTTCCACTCCCTCAAAGATGTTGCTGTCTGGCACATACCCCACCAGTATGAAGAGGAAATGTCAAAGAAGTCAGAACAGGTGGGTGTAAAAATGACATTCAATGCTACACTTAAGTGTTGTAAAAATTTAATTGCTGGAAATGTAGAGGAACATCAACCATTTTCTTGGTAAATTTGTAAATGTTTATAACTGTTGCTTCGTATTTCCCACAGGTGTGGTTGGGGCTACAGTTTAAAAACGAAAACCTCAGCCGTGACATGGCCGACATTCTTAAGTATTTCCATAAGTACGTGCCGGCCGAGATGGACGAGGACGGAAGGCTCGTGCGCCTGCTCCTGGTCATCCTCCTGGGAGGAGACTGGTTGTCCCAAGAACGGGCAGACAGCGTCCAGGGAGCCTTCAGAGATGGGGACGACCCATTAGAGCGACTGGAGGGAGTGCTAGGAAAGTTTGAGCTATGGCATTCCTTCAAAACCTTATATGGGGTGAGTAAATTATTTAGTGTATAACTGATTTTTTTTCACTGTTTTCACCTGGATTGTTCACTGTGTCACTGTGACTTCTGTACTGTGAACTTCATGACAGTAAACCTATAGTTCCTGGAATTTCTTTTTCCTGCATCTGTCAAAACTGTTTCGTGATTTACAGTATACATTTATAATACTGTTGATGTTAAAACTCATGTGCTGCACTCAAGGATTCAACCCCCATGATATAAATGCCAGTTATGAGTTTGAAATGCCAGCAAGGATACATGTACACTAATGAGCACTTTATATTTGCTATATACATGTACCAGCAGATTTTCTTGGGAAGGCAAGCTAGGTTAGCCTGGGTGCCATCCTCCGTAGTTTCCGCCGGCTCCCTAATTTTGCTAACTACCACAGAAAGCGACATTAGGGAGCCAGCGGAAACTACGGAGGATGGACCCAGGCTACAGCTCTAAGCTAAAGCTAGCTAAATAGTCTCATGCCCTTCTGTATGCAGCTTTTTACAAACCATGTTTCCTTTCAGACCCACTACGGCATCTTCTACAAGCAGGACAGCGCTGCAGACAAGGCCTCCTTGTGCAGTAACATGAATGTTACTAGAAGTCTGAACGCCAAGAAGGGCCCACACCTGTCGTACAACCCCTACAAGGAGTTCAACGACCTAGAGACCAACGCCGCCATCTTGTGTACATGCAAGGTGGAGTTTGGATGGGAGAGTTTGGATGGTAAGTAAATGTTTACTCCAAAATGAATACAAACAGCAAATGAAGAACACAACTACCACCTTTGCCAAGAAGGTTACTACTTAGGGTCTGTTGGTTTATAGTATTTGTCTCATAAGTCAGGTCTGTCACGGCATAAATACATGTATAGATTTCCTATGTCACACCTTTGTACGGCCAAAGCATCTTATCGTTATTCTTTCTTGTTTGTTTATCTGTTTACCTGCAGTACCTGAGGAGACGGTCATTCCCCAGCTTGTCCGGAGCGGTGACAGACACATCCGGAGGGACTGGCTGCACAAGAAAGCAGCAGAGGTGGTGGACCGCTTCATCATGTCTGAAGACAGTGCCACTTTGACTGCCTTGGAGACCAGCGTGAAGAGCGCAGCAGTCAAGCCACAACTCCCCTGCCGTCACCCAGGCTGCCCCAAGGTGTACGTGAGAGCCGGCTGCAGGGTTCAACACGAGAAGGACAAGCACGGCCTGGAAGCAGATGAGTCCCACACACACCCGACAACCACACAAACCAGTACTTCTACTAGTCAGGACTACGTATACAACTACAACACAGCTAATCTTAGCATGTCACTATTGATACGTAACCTCCGAGATGCAACCAAGGAGGGTGACGGTGAGCGTATCTCCAACTGCTTTCGGGCCGCTCTGCTCTATTTCAAAGCCTACGGGCACACAAAGTATGCTTTTGGCACACTTCTGTTTTTCGCTAGGGTGAATGCTCTCCTTCCCCCCAGACTGGCTCACAGTCTGGTGTGGAACCGTGTTGTGAACAACAAGGGAGGGAAAGGCAGGAATATACCTATGGACTTGAGGCTAGAGCACATGAACGCCTTCCTCAAGTCCTTCCTGCGTCACCTTGGCCCAAACTTGAATGAAAAAAGTGCTACGCGCATAGCCAGGGCCATTGGTGTAATGGAAGAAATTCTGGAACAAGCAGATAGGGATTGGGCAGTAGCCAAACCGTCAGGGTACCACCACAAAAAGGACCCCAGAAATGACATAGACATACTGTACAGGCAGTTTGTCTCAGCTGGAGCCTTTGAGTATCAGGCAGGCCGACAGTATGAACACTTCCCACAGTTCGATAGAAACCTGTGGTCCAAGTTGAATCCAACAGACTTCGCAAAGTGGATGAAAAAGAAGTTGAGGCAGTGGCAAAAAATCTACGAATAGAAACAGGGACCTTTTCTAGTTTTCTGATAGCTACTAGTATGTGCTTTAGAAACATCTGAATGAAAATGCAAATGACCTTTCTCAGTTTTCCTATTGTAAGTTTTCTACAGCATGTGAGGTATGTTTTGTCAAAAAACGTAAGTAACAACCAAGGTCATTTTGTAGTTTGCTGACTGACAACTTCCTTTTCATCCACTTTGCTTTGTGAACAAAAGTACTTTCTCTTTTTTTTTCAATCAAAGCAAGACTTCTTGATTTGCAAATAAAAGTGCTGCAGTACTGTCAACGTATTTCTGATGTAAGTGAATTTGTGTGCTTTGTGAAAGTGTACACATGTAACACATGTAACAACAAGAGATATTTTCATTTGTATGATGTAAGTTTATTTTCGTGTACATTACATGTAACAAGGTCCTTGTCAGTTTATATTATATACAATACGACACTCTGCTTGGTCAATACGAGACATTCTCATTTTCTTGTCTCAGCTATATTTTGTGCTTTTCAAAATCGGCATGTACTTGTATGAGCATGTAACAGCTACAGACAATCTCGGTTACGATTGTCTGCTTTGTACACGTATTGTATTGTACAGGTATCCTATGCAAGCATAATGCATTAGAGACAAATATTCACTTATCTAAGCAATATTTTGTGCTTTGTAAATAAAATACATGTAGCATATACTTGTATAAACATGTAACAGTGGCAGACAGTCTTGGTTTTCTCACCTAAGTAAGATTTCGGGCTTTGTACATAAAAGTATTGTATGTAAGAATAATACAACAGTGACAAACATTCCTAGTTTAGCTTATCCAAGCAATATTTAGTGAGTTGTAAATAAAAGTATTGGTATCTACAACAGAACATGTAACATCCTCACATCAGTATTAAGTTATAAAAAATAACAGGCAATGTACAATGAGAAGAAACTTTTGAAGTATTAAAGGGATGCTATATATATATAATAATTTGCTTCCTTTTTTGTCAATTATCGTCAGAATCATCACTGCTGGAACTACTACTACTACTACTAGGTGGATCAGTAAAAGTGTTCTCTCCAAAGTAAAAACTCTCTGCACCATTCTCTTGCTCGCTTACAAATTCTGTCTGAATATAACTTAACAAATCATCAATGTCAAGTCTCTCGTCAAATACCTTATTGACTATAGCCATTATAGCATCCGCATGTTCTTTCTTGTACACATGTATATTTTTTTGAATGTATTCAACGCTGAAAATGTGGGGTGCATGTTCTAAGACGGTTTGAATCAAGTCCCCTGAAAACCCAGTGGTGAGATCGAAACTGAACATTAACTTAGTAGACTGAACTAGTGACTGTCTGTATTCTATGAGTCCCTCCCTAAGCCGTTGAAGCTGGTCTGCAGTAACATTTCTTGTCAAAACATTTTCTTCCTGTTCTGGTTGTGTCCACATTTCAAACTCAGGAATACATACGGCACAAGTATCCTCATTGCAAGAACATTTTTTGTGACATACTGAGCAGCAAGAATGTCCTGGTGTCATAGGCATTGTTGTCTTTTCCCTCTCAAACACATTGTAAAGTTTAGCTCTGAGACATTCCTTACAGCGTATGAACTCTTTCATATCAGTATCTTCACACGGTTTCCCACTTATAGAATAAACAATGCCATAGGCCTGCTGGCCATCTCTCCCAGCCCTCCCTATCTGCTGTAACAGGTCCTCCATGGTACGTGGTGCCCCATAGTGCACTACATATCTCACATCTTTAAAGTCAATCCCCATACTTAAGGCTGTTGTAGCAACCACTACTCTAACAGGTCCTTCTTCAAAACAAGCCAAAACCTCTTCTTTCTTGTGTTCATGTGTTGAGGCATGGTACATGGCAACAAGACAGTACTTGGATTCATGCTTAGGGCCAACATAGGCATGGTCCTGGAGGGAATCTTTAATGTGGATGTACACTTCACTAGCATAAGCAATCTTTGGGCAATAGATAAGTACCTTGGGGTGTAGCATTGCCTTTTCCCGCAATCCCCTAACTATCCAGTCAAAGCACGAGAAGTCTTCTGCTTTCACCGTGACGCATGACAGTCGGATGTTTGGCTTGTTGGGGCTTGCCTCCACGGTAGCAGGTCGTTTCCCCCCCATGCCTTTTCCCCCCCATGTCAGTCTGGTCATTTCCCCGTCAGTGGTTATGACACCTAAAGTTATTTTTAAAATCTAAGATAAACGTAGGTTACTATAACTGTTTACATGTGATAGTCAGCGTGATATCTGTACTTTTGTTGTAGTTTTTCCCCAGTTTCATAGAATTTTACAGACTAACAAGCCGTCAGTTTCACTGCGGCGGGCGGGGATGCCAGGTTCCCCCACCACTAACACAGCCCAGGTGCGGTGTCAAGTTGGAGATTTCAGCGACTACTTGCTTGTGTTTAAATGTTTAAGTCAGAGACGTTTATGTTTGAAATATTTTAAATCATAGATGTTTACGTTTCAATGTTTTCAATCGTGGATATTTATGTATAACTTGTCACTGCATCTGGCGCTGTGCTAACATCAGGCAAAACCGTAGTCAACATAAAAGAAAGTAGTATGCAACAACGACATCACATGTAAACACTTATAGTAACATAATTTTATCTTACTATTCTTAGATTTTAAAAATAACTTTAGGAGTCATAACCACTGACAGGGAAATGACCAGACTGACATGGGGGGGAAAAGGCAGTGGGGGGGAAACGACTAGAAACCGCCTCCACATATGTAGCATCCTTTTTCAGCTTCAACAGGTGCACGATGTCTTTCCTCGCCTTTGCATCTGCAGACGCAGTCAAGGCGAGAAGAGGGGTTCCTGGAAAAGAAGTCATCATGAGTCAAGTGAAGATTACAAAAGTTGCAAGTCTCTCACAATTTGCTCAGGTATATCATGGAGGTTACCTCCATGGTTATATTGACTAAACCCCCCATTCTTTACACACAAACACAAGCTCCAAAAGTATACTAAGTACTATAGGATATATCGTTATATACATCTGGCATAAGTTTTAGGCTCATTCAGATGATTCAGTGTATTTAGACACCAATGCAGTTAAGCAAAAAATATTGTAGCAACTACCAAGTCAGATTACAAATGGGAACAACTTGGGCTATCCATCCTCCTCATGTCCTAGGGTGGAGTAGAGAAACACCTGATTACGCTGATACCCATACACGCACACAACGGCACAAAACATTTTGTATGATATAAAAATGAACTTACCACATCTACACAGTGATCTTAGTTCTGCGATTCGTCCAAAGCATTGTCTGAATGCCTTAACCCCCTTCTTGGCCATCCCCCTGAAAAACAAAACAAATGTATTGTTATAAAAAAAAAACATTTAAACACCTCACATAGCAGACAACACAGAGACATACGGTAGTGTAAATTATTTACGCTAGTGAAAAGCAATTTATTTATCAAAATGCAAAAGAGACACAGTTCCAAAATCATATCCAAAATCATATCCAGTTGCTTGAGTAACTGCTTTTTGGCGTAAAAGAGGCACAGGTTTGGTGATTCAATGATTGTGAGGCAAATGTACACACAATAAAGGAACCGACTCAGACAACACAGAGACATACGGTAGTGTAAATTATTTACGCTAGTGAAAAGTGATTCATTAATCAAAATGCAAAAGAGGCACAGGTTTGGTGATTCAATGATTGTGAGGCAAATGTACACACAAATTATAAAGGAACCGACTCAGACAACACAGAGACATACGGTAGTGTAAATTATTTACGCTAGTGAAAAGCGATTCATTAATCAAAATGCAAAAGAGGCACAGGTTTGGTGATTGTTAGGCAAATGTACACACAATAAAGGAACCGACTAAAGTTTGGGAAAATCGCTTTTTATTCCATCGGCACCGACATGAAAAGGGTGTAAAGGTAGTGCCGACTAATAAAATTCGGGCGACGATTCACGCCACGTACACCAAGAACGCCACGCCACACCAAGAACGCGAAAGAAAGTGACGATGAACTTAAGGCTAAACATGTCCCAGCGAAAATAGAGCGAAGTATTTCAGCAGACGCCGTCATATTCTTTTGGGGGAGGGGGAATAATTATGCACTATCTTCACTAAACCGAAGCAAAATATAGTGGGGAGGGGGGCATGCACATATTTATACCAGACATGCAACGAAAGCCCATGCAACGTATCCATATATAAAGTCATAATCCACAAAGGAAACATATATTCTTACCAGCTCGGCGTCTTGTGTACCTCGTCCACCACGATTCCAATGAGGTTTTGTTCGAAGTGATCACTGAGCAACATGTCTCCCCAGAGTTCACAGTCGACCCACAGCTCAGGGATACCAAACACAAGTTGGTACTTGCCCTTCTTGATGTCCTCCGCATCTTTGTCTTTCACGTCTAACAATGAGATCGCAGAGATCCCCAGCGAGTTTGCTTTCTCTACCTGATCTTTGATGAGGGCTACGAGAGGAGAGACAACGATCACAATAGGCTTCTTGACGTTCACAAGCCACGCTGGTGCATTTGGGCGAGATGCCAAAATACCGGCCACAATAGGCGCAATTTGATAGATCAGGGACTTGCCGTACCCCGTTGGAAGGAGAGCAACGGTGTCCTTTCCAGTCAGGAAAGACTCTAGTGCCGCGTACTGCTCGTCTCGGAGACTTTTGACGGTAGGTAAACCTAGAATAGCAGAGGATACGGCGTCTTGAATAGCAGTGCTACCATCAGTCGCCATGTTCAGCAAAGTTCAGCAAAAGACCGGATGTGGCAGGACTCGCAAGTGACTGTGGGTATTCACTAATGACCTCGCCTGACCTAGCCCCGCTGATGCCCGCCAGATGTGCGCCCAATCCCGGCGTGGCGTGCCACTGAGCGGGGATTAGATCCTGGCCAATAAGCACAGAGAAGGCTACACACAGAATCTGTGCGTATGGACTGACAGCTAAGAGAGGCGCTTCCAGACTCGTATAGGGCGGCCAAACTCCCCCGGGGCTAGACTCCCCCGTAG